GACATTCAAATCACTCCGGCTTCTGTTGCTAAAGTCATATCTCAATTAAACTCGTCTACAGCTTGTGGTCCAGACAACATTCCTGTCACAGTCTTGCAGAATTGTTCTCCAGAACTTTCTTCAATTCTCTCTAAACTATTTAACAAGTGTTTGACTGAGTCTTGTTTTCCTGCTTGTTGGAAAATGGCATCTGTGGTTCCAATATTTGAAAACTCTGGAGAAAATTCTGACCCCTCCAATTATCGTCCGATCAGTCTTCTTTCTGTTATTAGCAAGGTCTTTGAGTCTTTAATCAACAAATTCCTCACATCTCATCTTGAGTCAAATAAACTGCTGTCAGACAATCAATACGGTTTTCGATCCTCTCGCTCTACGGCCGACTTGCTAACTGCTGTAACTGAAAGATTTTATCGTGCATTAGATGGAGGCGGTGAGGCTAGGGCTATTGCTCTCGACATATCTAAAGCTTTCGACAAAGTTTGGCATGCTGGTCTTCTCCATAAGCTTGCTTCATATAATGTTTCTGGGAAAGTTTTTGAGATTATCAAATCATTTCTTTCTGACCGGTTTATTAAAGTCATCCTTGAAGGCCAACACTCTTCTTTATTTCCAGTAACTTCTGGGGTTCCCCAAGGTTCCATCCTGGGACCTGTTTTGTTTCTTATCTACATAAACGATCTTCCTGACAACCTTTCATCTAAAGTAGCTCTTTTTGCTGATGACTCAACTTTATACTCCTGTCTTGACAAAAAGTCTTCTCTTTTCGATCGCCTAGAACAAGCAGCTGATCTTGAATCCGATCTCACTTCAGTAATAGATTGGGGTTCACAGTGGCTTGTGAATTTCAACTCTAAAAAACCCCAATTGCTTACTTCAAACAACTACCGTAATATGGTCAACATTCCTATATTAATGAATGGCAATCCTCTTACTGAGTCCTCCTCTTTACGTCTTCTTAGATTATCGCTTACTACTGACCTTTCATGGAAACCATATATACAATCGATTGCTAAATTAGCTTCTGCTAAGGTTGCTTCTCTTTGTCGTGCTCGCCATTTTCTTACTTCTGATTCCATTCTCTACCTCTACAAATCTCTTATTCGTCCCTGTATGGAATACTGTTGTCATATTTGGGCTGGTTCTTTTAACGATTCACTTTCTCTTCTTGACAAGGTCCAAAAACGCATTGTAAATGTTGTTGGACCTGGACTATCTGCTAAGCTTGAACCTCTTTCCCATCGTCGTAAAGTTGCATCTCTTTCTCTTTTCTACAGATACTATCATGGTCACTGCTCAAAGGAGTTATCATCTCTAGTTCCATCAACTAAAATTCATTCTCGTTTTACTTTTCATTCAGCTAAGTCTCATTCGTTTACTGTATCTGTCCCTGCATGCTCTAAAAACTTTTATTCATCTAGTTTTTTTCCCCGCACTTCAATCTTTTGGAACTCTCTCCCATCTTCTTGTTTTCCTGACTCCTACAACCTTCAACTTTTTAAGTCTTCTGTCAACCGTTTCCTTGCTCTATAACTCTGTTCTTTTTTTTCCTAGTAACTTCCAACTTAATAGTGGTTGCTTGCAGCCTTGTTGGGAGTGAATGCAAATAAAAAAAAAAAAAAAAATATATATATATATATTCGGATGCAAATCAAACCTTTTTGCAGATACAACGAGAGATGAAAGTGACAGACAGTGCTGCGGATTTTGTAGTTTCCACAGTCTCAGAAAAAACAACGAAACAAATTAAGAATATATGGTTCAAAAGGTCACTCTCGGCAATATCACGCAAGAAAATTGTAGAGAAAATCAACGGTTCCACAACAGTTACAGAAACTTGGTACATCAATATAAATCCAGACAATGTGATCCGGCATACACCAAGCGACTTAAAAACTCGCTTCCAAAACAAATCTACATCTATTTGATTATGCAATCTGCAAATGTAATGATTTTCCAAGTTGCATATGCAAACTTAAGCATAAGTTACCGCCTGCGGAGATAAGCTTCTTGATGGACCAATGAAACCAACAAAAAATGATAATCGGCGGCGTTGATGTTAGAACTATAAAGTAACTCGTGTTACGACAAAAACGCTTGTAATGAGTTGATGGTTTTATGGAAAAACATCGCAATTACTAAATACTAAAAGTGATGAACAAGTAAACGATGTAAAGATTTCAGCTACGCCTGATGAGGAAGACTCAAGAATAGATGCAATGGATCCGGATTTTAGTGTTAATACTGTCACTACTGACTAAAACGTATATAATATTGATAGTATAAAGCGCAAAAAAAAAAATGCGACTATAACAACTACGGCGTGCACGGAAGGATCGGGAAAAATATGGAAACTAATTCAGTTTTGTAGATACATGAAAACATCAACTCAAAGTGATCGTAAATTTCGGAGTTGCTAGAAACAGTTACTTTTGCCTTTTTGAGAACACCTTATTGGCAATGCTAGCTGATAAATGAGACCACATCAGAGTGCTGGGCTGCAGACCAATACTCGCAACACAGAAGGAGAACACATCAAAAATACTGCGACAATTTCAAGCACCAAGTTTAAACTTTAATACCAAAGATTACATTGACCTTGTAAACTGGAACAATAAACACCGCTGCAAACCTCCGATGGCGATACACCTGGCTAAAGCAGAGCTACAAAACTGCGTTAAGAACAGTAACAACCAGCTTGTTTGGAGCCTGCCACAATTTCTTTGCCACACTCAAGCCACAGAGCGACATATTCGTCTACTGACTGAGGCATCGGTGGCAGATTGCACCTAACAACGAGATGGATTTGTCCGTTCTGGTAATGAACCCAGAAAAAAACAAAAACTTTTTACAACAAAGCACAATACAGTCTTAACATTTTATTTGCATGTGTAGTGTATACTTGTGTACTGTGTAAAACAAGTACTTTAAGTAACTAAATAAAACATTGCTTAGTCGTATGTAAAATAGCAGATAATTACGACATTGCATACAGTTGTTGATATTTCAAGAGTGTTGGGGCACCCTAAGACCAACAAATTTATATTTATTCCTATTTGGTTTTCGCTATTGCTACTATGTAGCAACTATTCCACTCCCTACCAATTATTGATTTGCAAATTTTTTTAAAATACTTTAAGCATACCTCAGTATATATATATATATATATATGTATATATATATATATATATATATATATATATATATATATATATATATATATATATATATATATATATATATATATATATATATATATACATAACACTTATGACAGCATATAAATTAGTTTTCAATCTTATTTTCACCCCGGACAGTCTGAATTTTTATACTGCACTCAAGTCTAGTTCAATGATTAATCTTTTTGTAAAATAGGTTTTAGGTCCAGCATATATTTTAAAATCATATTCAAATTCTGACTAACTGCATAACACAAATAACTTAAAGCCTTCTTTAGTTTGCTTCAGAGTTTTATACTACTTCAAATCCTTCCTAAATTTTGTTTAATATGATTTACATTTTTTTATTTGTTTCAAATCATGAAATGACAAAATTATTTGAAATGAATAGTATTTTAATTTTGTGTAATTTATTATGTTTATGACGTGAATTTTAATAGATTTTGTTTTCATTAGAATGAAAGCACGCTTTTCAGGTTAATTTTAATTTTACTTTTAGACATTTTACTTTTAATTTTACTTTTAATTTTACTTTTTTTTTAATTTTACTTTTAATTTTACTTATAGACATTGCTAATATACTTTTTTTATACTAAATTTATTCTATACCAAAATTAAGATTACAAATAATCGGTTTCTCTGCTGTAAAACTACTAACATATACTGTAAGATACCAAAAAATAACTTTATATTTATAACATCAAAATGTATAGACAAATTTTGGAGTTTTTTAAATTTAGTTAAGCTAGTTTGTTCACAAATGAAACTTATAAAATTATCATCAAAGATGGACTTAAAGAAAAAAAAAGGAATTGTCAATTCACGTAAAAACTAATCAAGCAATGACAACACAAATTTAATTCCAAGCTTTTCTTTTTTCATTGTTACATTTTTTTATACCCAAAGTATATTTTTTTATAAAATTTTTTGCGACATTAAAATGCATGATGTATTAATACTTGCTTTAGATTGTAAAGTGTTTGCATGTGACTAAAAGCTTTGTGTTAAATTCTTAGCTTCAACCCTACTGTCATAACTGTCTTGACTATCACTATGCAGATCATCGTCAACATCTTTATCATTACCTTCAGATCGTTTTAAGTTATCCTCACTATCATCTTAATTATCTAAAAAGACTATTTTTTCTTACTCTGTAGGAATCTTTTGATTTATTTTGGATATTGTTAAAAAACCATAAAACGTAAATATAAAATAAAATAAAAAGTTAATATAGCACAAACGCTATTATTTTTCTGATATTTTCGTCAAGCCATTCTTATTCTAAATATTAATTACTGCTAGACTTAAAAGTACCAGTAATGAATTGAGCTTTTACTGCAATTATGTGACAATTATGGTAAACGTGTTTTAATAGTTGAAAATATCATATTATTTAAAAATACTGTGCAGGCTAAATTATAAGTTTGCATGAAGTTTACTTTAAAAAGTTTGCCTTACATTTTACTAAACACAATGCCGATGATTTTATTCATATTACATTTTTAACTTAATTTCGATAATTTGTCATTACTAGTGATACTAATACATATTGTTGCATTTTAGCAACAAAGCTTAGAAGATCAATATTTACATATAACTAGATAATATAAATTTATAAATCTAAACAAGCTTATAAAAGTTTTTAACTACTGAACCTAAATTTAAAATTTTTCACAGAACATATAGTAAAGTTAAAGCATAATTAACGTTTTCGAAAAATTATTTCAGGGGGACATAAATTGGTACCATAATGTTATAAACATTGTTATTTAGTCATTTTATAACTTATTTTACTCAGTTTATAATAAAAGACAAACATTATACTACATATAGATGGATCTTCGTCGGAATGATCAGAACAGTCATAGTAATCATCACATTTCCAGTTTAGTGGAATGCATTTACCATTTGAGCATTGAAAATAATCACTTGAGCACACTGAAAAAATGTTTTTACAAATACATACATATATATGCGTAAATATATGTCCTAAAAATTTTTCTTGTTATAAGATATGTTAATAACAAACAAGTTGACTTCAGAAAAATAGAAATCGCTCAACTAATTTTTAATTTTATTTAAAATTAGTACTATATTAACAAAATTTTGCTTACCTAATCAGGTCAGCGTCATCAGGTATTAAAATAAAGTATTAAAACAATTTTAAATGTTTTTACTTTTATAAGTTTTAAACATCAAAACTAAGTTAAAACATCAATGTTTAGTATATAAATTTATCCCTATGAAATCCTTAATAATTTAATGCAATAATAGGAGGGTTTATATATTCTATTGTTATTTAAGTAATTTAAAAAAATAGTTATAAAACAAACAAATAAAAAAACTACAATATAATGTGTCAATGAGTCTCAAAAAAAAATTGGATTTCGAAAACGGCAATATTACGTAATCATAATCATTTTTGTTTAAACCACATTTGGAGAACACTAGTGATTTTTTTTTTGAGGCTAATATTTTATTTAGTGTCGTAGGGATTTGGTAACTTGAAGGCTAAAGCATATCCTGTAATTTAAAATCTCTTTATATATTGGATACTCACATTGAATACTCACATTTGATATCTATTTCAGAAAAAAATGAAAAAAAATTCTATGTTTTGATGTAATTGATGTTGCTTAATTATTTATTTTGCATTAAAAATTAACAATAAACAAAAAACAAAATACAAAAAATAAAAAATAGTATTTATGATCAATATATAAAATCAGGTGTTTTGACTTTTTTTATTTTAAAAGAAATAGCTAAAAAAAATAAATTAAAAGGTGTATAGTGAGTCCAAATAATCGTATTTTCAGTTATCCGGGTAATCGAGTATTTATTTTTTTCATTACCCGGGTACCCGGGTATCCGGGTAAAGGAAAAAAAATTTACCCACACCATGTTGTGTTAATTAAATTTAAAATAAAATGCAACAGTTTTAGTTTTAAATTTATTTTTTATTTAAAAAATAATACTTTAAAAATACAAGTTTGTCAACTGTTTCCATTTTCAACTGATTTTGGGTTTTTGTGACAAAAGCTGAAGCTACCGAAAACACTCTCCCACTTATTGTTGACGTTGGTTGTATTGTCAATAATGCTGTAAAAATTTTCCAATTGAGTCACCTCGTTTTGAACAATCTTTCTCCCACAACTTCATTTCTTTTTCCAATGTGGATTTTCTCTCATTATTTTCTTTTGGAACAGTCATAATTAGTTCAATTGTTTTTTGAAGTTCATCATAATTTGAAACCAAACCATTATTTGAAATTACTTCTTCATTTTCAATTGTTAACTCTGTATTCATCTGTGTGTTTGCAGGATCTTCATTGAACAGCCTTTTGAAGGTTTCTTTAGCCAATAAATGAATAGAACTTTTTTTTAAAAAGTAAAACGGCAGTTAATATCTGGTTTAGGATAATTTCCAGATTGTAAAAAACGCAAGAGTGATACAACATCCTCATTTCGTCTTTGTTCAATTCTTTTCTTCAAAGCAGTGAACATTTCCATCGCTAACTGCGTATTTTTTTCTTTTAGTTTGTTTAGCAAAAAAATGCATACTCCTTCAGCTTTTAAAAGATTATTATTATCTTTACTGAGCTCTTTAACAGCAAGCTCAACCGGTTGTAAAACATGTGATATTTCTTCTAAAACTTTGACATTTTTTTCTGAACATTTTTGCTGACCTAATTCCATTAGAGCCTTTTGTATACAATCGTATATTTTTATGAAACGATTTATCATTGGTATTATTGAGTTCCATCTTGTTTTGCAATCGAGTAGCAATCGTAACTTTTTGCCTTCTTGATCTATTATTTGATTTTCAAGAACACTGCTTCGAACTGAAGAATATTTGAAAAATTTAATAATTTTTCGTGTTTCATCAAGAATTTTGCCAATGTCTTCACGAAAGATAGATAATTGTCTAATGGAATCATTTTGGAAATTTAATTTACTATCAAAAGCAAATGCATCAGCTGCCTCATCATTTTGTTCGATAGTTTCAACACAATCCTCATCTGCTAAATTTTTATCATATTCTAAATTCTCATCATCTTGGAAATTTGTATCAATTACCATTCGTTTGTATCAATTATCATTCATTTGTATCAATTATCATTCGTAATTAAACTCCCACTTTTTTTATAAAATACATTAAGTACAGCAAGATGTATAGCATGGTTGTAGCATAACTGAGAAAATGGTAAAATATTTTTCCCATATTTTACCATGACTGATGCTCCATCATGTCTGGATCCGACGATATCATTATCCATTTTAATTCCATAATCTTTAAGTTTTGCTTTTACCAAATCGATAGTGGCAATTGAATCACAAGAACCTATTATTGCAGATAGACCCAAGATTACAGGTGGCTTTGTTGCTGAATGAAGAGTGATATTCATGAACCTTCTAACGTTTATATCACTCCATTCATCGACAGTATTACTGAATCTCTCTCCAGATTTTTTTTGCTCTAATAACGACGCCATTAATTCTTCTTTTTTTTCTTTATAAAAATCCATTTTATATTTCATTGCCGTTGTTTCACTTTTTGGCATTTTATAATTACGACTTGCTATGAAACCTCTTATGGCTTCAGATGAAGTAATTCCTTTGATGCTAAATCCATCTTTTGTCGCACATTTCGCCAATATTTCATTCAATGATTTTCGACTTATGAAATTTATTATTCCATTTCCAACTGATTTTGTGTTTTTCGAAGAAGACGCATTAGTTTCATCTGTGTCGCCCAAATTTCTTTTTTGTAAAGATATGCTATGTAATTTTAAATGATTAATCATTCCAGTAGTATTAGATCCCGGACGTTGAATTATAGATTTGCATATGTTACAAACCGACTCCGATTTCTCTTTTTTTGTAAAATATTTCTATACCTCTGATTTTTTTGAAGACATTTCAGGGTATATGTAAATAAATCACTAAAATAAAAAATCACAACATAAAAACTGAAAATTAAAATTTATACGTATTTAGTATGTAATTATGCATTATACGTAATTATGCATTTATTACTTGAAATTTAGTACATTTTACTCAAAACCATACACTTACTAAAGGCAGCTATATATATTAGAAAAATAAGTATTTATTTTATTTGTTTCACAAATTTTTTTTTTAATATTTCACTTGCTTGCAAATTTTATGTCGTACAACTTCAAATTACAAATGTTATTTATTTTATGTAACTTAGTTAAAAAAAAACTTTTGAAATTTAGTTAAAAATCAACGGTTGCTAAGAAATTTTATTATAGAAGTAAAAGAAGAAAAAACGGTAGAATACCGATACTCGATTGATTAATAGTTAAATGAATGTGCAATATTTACATTTTTTTGTTCAAATATTATACTCGATACTCGAAAAAAATATTCCGAATAGTCGACTACTCGGAACTTGCTTATAAAGTATCAGTTACTCGGGTACTCGGGTAATCGATAATTGTAATTGGATTCCCTAAAGGTGTATAGTATATAAACCAAGAATTATTATTTAATGGTGACGTTAGTTAATTATTTGTTTGAAAAGTTCATAAGATTTTTTTTTACCATTATAACTAGTAATATTTAGAATCATGTAAATTTAACAAGTAATATTTAAATTTTAAAATGTTACCAGAAAATGTTGTTGTTCTTGTTGGTGTTTTTTTTTCCGTTGTTCGACCTAAAAAAAAAATAACTATAGAAGTTTTTTATTAACAATATTAAAACAAGAGTATATACTTAAAATCAAAAAGAAATTTTGCAATTTATTTTGTTTTTTACATTTTGGCGTATATAGTTTGATTTTTTGTATTACACTTTTTCTAAACTAATCCATTTTTTTAATGCAAAACTCATAGTTTTTTTTTATTTGCAATGGCACCAAATAGATTAATATAACAAAATGTGACTTAAATTCTAAATTTTAGGTCTTTATTACATGGCTTTTTTTATCTTAATTTAAAAAAATCCAAGTTTTTCCCTTGATATTTGTGGTAAATAGAAAAATTAGTCAAAAAATAATAAGACTAAAATAAACTGTTTTTATTTAACTTACAGTTTAAAGCCAATCTGCGACATTATCATAGTTATCGTTTAATGAAATATTTTAATGCAAACGTATTTCGTTTAAAAAATGTTTAAATTTGTCTTTTTTTTACATTTCCATCTTTGTCTAGGCTACTCAAAATTGAACTAGTGACTATCCTGTTCTATTTTAAAATTATATGGTGATGTTTTAGTGCTGGCTATTCCTGCCTTTTTTTTTTAAAGACACAATTTTATTCAAAACTCCTGTTTTTGTTATACTTTTTTTTTGTTTTGAAGCTCGACAAACAAGTGGCCAAAAATATAGCATTGCCTGTCGTCACATCTAACAAATAGTAAAAAAAACCTAAAATACCACTTTTTTGAGCGAAGCTTAAAAAGACTTCTTGCAAGATGGCTGTCAGTAAGGTCAACATTTCTCCTATGTTTGTTGTGTTTATTAAGTATAATAGGACAACTGGCTTTTACGCTTGCAATCCGGGGAAAAACAGTTATGCAGAAATTCTATAATCAAGTCATATATATAGCTTATAGAAATTTTACAAAAATCTTTAGATATTATATAGAATCTCTGTTAATTTCCGTAGAAATTTCTAGATAATTTTTTTTTTAATTTTTTTTTCTTTAAAAAAAAACGTTTACTAAAAATTTTATATGAATTAAAAGATATTTTGTAGAAATTCTAAAAATTTTCTCTAGGCCAATCGTTTCAATAGTTTATAAAAGTTCTACAGAATATTTTTTCTTTAGTTGACTTTCTATTATATTTTGATACTTTTGTTTTGGACAATTTACCTATGCACGCTTATAACACAGTTACTGTTGTGTTGTCTGCCTATGTTAAGCAACTAACATAAATACCTGTAATGTTTGAAATAAAACCCCCTTAATTGTCCCTTAAAAGCTTTTTCATTTTACATTCAAAAAACTTTATTGTTGCGTTGTATATATATATATATATATATATATATATATATATATATATATATATATATATATATATATATATATATATATATATATATATATATATATATATATATATCTTATACTGCTGAGTAAGGGGATGACATCTTACTGAAATAGCCTGCTGCGAAGGCTTCGACTGACAAATAGCCTGACTCCCAGTGGAGTGCTGCTACATCGACTGAGGGTTTGATATGGATCAGCAACCATTTCATTCATTATTCTTCGTTTTCTCTTATCGTTTTCTCACGGTGCTCACTTAAATTAGGCTAGCAAAAAAAGTGAGCAAATGCGCATATAAATATGCTATAGTATATATATATATATATATATATATATATATATATATATATATATATATATATATATATATATATATATATATATATATATATATATATATATATATATATATATATATATATATATATATATATATATATATATATATATATATATATCATATCAAACAAATTTTTAAAAGATTTCAAGTAGTATATAACTTTTATGCAAATTAAAGTTGTGTTGTGTGAGAACAGTATAATTTTTTTTTTCCTGTTCTCAAATAACATTACTTATTGCGGTAAACTTTTTGTAATCTGATTAAGTTGGTATTATAGATTCGGTTTCCTTTAACAATATAAAGATGCATTAAGTAAAAAAAAAAGGCATTTTTGTAAAGGGATCGTTGAGATACTGATGAAAATTTTACACGTGAAAACAAAACATTGCACTAATGTGATTTGAATGTTTATTTCCTTTGATTTAGAATTTTTTTTTTTACTTTTCTTTTAATAGCAAGGCGTTCTGAAATAAATTTAGTTTGGCAAGACATAGAAATTTAGTCTTTTTTACTTTAATAATAACGTTTTTGAAGTCATGATATATTTTCTTTTGGTTCACGGAAGTCTTTTATAAGTAATAACAATGAAAGGGCATATCAACATTTTTTTGAAACGAACAATTTAAAAGTAATATTCTTGAAACCAACATTACAAAATAAAAGATATGTGGAATATTTTTTAAACAAAACTAGAGCAAGGCAGTTTTGTTTAAAAAACTTTCCACATATCTTTTGTTTAGAAATGTTGGTTTAAGATTTTGATAACTAACAAGCGACGTTAACGCCAGGTTAAACAAAATTAGTTTTAACAGTCACAACTCTCTCGAAATTTTAGTTCCAAAACTGCATTCAATTTTTAATAACTGCATTATTTTTTCTATTCTAAACTGCATTCTCTTATATTTAAAGTATACTATTTAAAAAAAGATTAAGTAATAGAAGGGTGTACTGAGTCTTTTATAGTTAAAAAGGTAGTTAAAGGAGAGATACTTGTAGAATCCAAGCAAGTTTTGAGTACAAAACGTCTTTTTCTTTTTTACTTTAGTTTTCAAGCAAGAAAAGGGTACTGTTTAAATTCATTTATTCTGATCCATAACTTGTGTAAAGTGCATTTTGTAGATAAGTAATGGTATATATATATATATATATATATATATATATATATATATATATATATATATATATATATATATATATATATATATATATATATATATATATATATATATATATATATATATATATATATATATATATATAAATATATATATATATATATATATATATATATATAAATATATATATATATATATATATATATATATATATATATTATATATATATATATATACATATATATATATATATATATATATATATATATATATATATATATATATATATATATATATATATATTTATATATATATAATATATATATATATATATATATATATATATATATATATATATATATATATATATATATATATATATATATATATATTTATATATATATATATATATATATATATACGCCTTCTATATTGCCTAATGCATTTTTATATTGTTAAAGGAAAACCAAATCTATAATACCAACTTAATCAAATTACAAAAAGTTTACTGCAATAAGTAATATTATTTGAACGCTGGAAAGAAAAATTTATACTGTTCCTAAAAATAACAAATAATAGCATAATATTCATTTCCAAAAAGAAAGTTACCTGCTTTAAAATATACTAAAAAAAGTATTTATACTAAAATTATTATATAAACAATAAAAAGGAGTGTGTTGAAGCAAAGAAAACAATTTTCTATCTTTACAATCTATTTACGATGTTTAGTAACATATACAAAGAGATTTAACAGAAATAAATGTTAACATTGAGAAAATATGCGCTACTGACCCTATTTAATATACTGATTTTAAAATAGTTTAACAAAATTCATATGCATGGCTAAACAAAAAAACTGTTGATTTTCTTCTTGTTTACAGAAAAATGTTTGAAATTATTACTTAAAACACTATTTTTTACTATCTGATTCTAAATAATATAGATATAGAAATATTGTTAAAAAAAAGATAACTTAAAAACCATAAGCTTAAATTCAATTGTGTTTCAAATAATATAATAATTTTTCTGTTTGTGAGTTTTTGTAATGACAAAAATCAAAAGTGTGAAAATTAAAAAATGCAGATTGAACCTTAAATTGTGTAGAGTCTATATCTTATCTATATCTATATCTTTAAATTGTGTACATTCTATATGCATATCAGTTTGAGGATGTCCATTTTTGAAAAATATTTTGGGAAATCTTTTTAAATAAATAGGATAATCTCAATGATCAAGCTTTTTTAAAAAGTGTCACTAAATATGCTATTCAAGCAACAAAAAATATTACATGTGTTTTAGGAAACTGGTAAAATATAAACCATAAATACCATTTCTTTAAGACAAATTAAAAAAAAAATTATTCTGTTATTTTATCTAAAGCTTTTACAATTTTAATACAGAATAGTAAATATGGAGAATTATCAAATAATGCATTGCACATTCCAATAGATAAAAGGTATTTAAATTATGAAGGATGATTTTATTAATTGTTAGTGTATTAGGTTTAGGTAACTTTATAACAATAAATGATTTTCAAATTTTTGAGCACTTTTACATTTATATGTAGAATTATTTTTTATTTTTCGATTATGTTTCTGCATTAGCTTTTTCAAGACTTTTATTTAATGGTTTATTGTTCTATAATAAAGAAAATAACATAAAATAATAAACAAAATAAATAAATATTTTTTCATCTATTATATTAGGATTTTGTAATTATCCTTTAAGTTGGAGACTTTTGAGATGATATAATATAATAACATAAGTTTCTTGACGATTTCGATTGTTAACAACATCCAGTGTTGTTTTATATTATTTTTATTTTTATCTATTGGACGTTATTGGTTCTTTTGTTTGTTAAATCCAACTTACCACATTTTGCATTAACTTTTATGAATCTATACTGTATTACTGAGACGGTAGGCTAACTTAAGTTAATGAGATGAACTGTTATCTCCATAAAAAATAAATCCGTCCGTCCGATATATGGAAATTAAGAAGATTGAACTAAAACAAAGTATTATTCTTTATTACTTTATTTAAGTTCTCTCAATTTTTTTTGTATTAACGTTGCTGTAACATAAATATAAAGAACAAAACCACTTTATAGCGTTAATACCTTTGTAATACTAGGTATTTCAACAAAAAATATCCAATATGTATCTATCAAAGTCGTTTACAAAAAATAAAACAAAGAAAAACGTTTTATAA